TATATATATATATATATATATATATATATATATATATATATATATATATATATATACATTATGAAATGGACAAAGTCCAACAATTATTTTAAGACATTTTTATGTTTATACATTCTTTTTTATAGATACAAATATTTAAGTAAATGTTCTGTTTCATAATAAACAGTATTAAACAACATTTACCGACCTGAATGTTCGAAAAAAATTTTCATAGAGGAGGAGGAAAATTTTCTATGAAAATTTCTCGGACATTCAGGCCGGTAAATGTTGTTTAATACTGTAGAGGACAGTAATTCCCATGCATCCTAAATAGGAAGACATACAACAGACTGTACTGTATCCTTTCTTTATATTTGTCACCTTCAGATAATGGCTGTTTATTTTTTTTATATATATGACTTAACTTCTCCATATAGGACAAATTGCAATATGTATATATGTATTTATATATTGCATCTTAGTATGATTTATATTTCTATAGTTCAGTGTTGTATATAAAATGCCTTCATATATAACCCAAATTTTAATTCATTTTTTTGCTTCTTCTAGTTCTTCCTTAATCATGTTAAAGTGTTAGTATATCTTTGATAAACTAATGCCTCAAGCACCCTATAAAAGTGATCAGTTTAAAATTCTTGAAAGATTATCAACTATGACAGATACCTGAAGAAGGAGAGATAGTACAATATCCAAAACATTGTGACAAGAACAAGCAAGATGAGGACACATCTCCAAGCAAGTCAATGTATAATATATGAATCTGCTAATTAGTTCTGCAAGTTGTCATTCTTTTGCAAAAGAATGTTAATTGATATCCATGAAGAAAGAATTACATATGAGAATGAATCAATAAGTCCACAGCCTGACATGTTATTAGCAGAACATTGATTTGAAATTTTCACTGCATAATCTTCAGCCTATAGGATTAATGTTCACCACTGGATTAAGTACGTTGATAAAGAAGCAGAAAAATAAATATTTGTTGTGTAAAGTAAATGCTTTTTTTTCATCATCAGGCTACAGATTTATTGATATACATCAAATGTTTGCATTCACTTGGTCTTTTTACATTTTTTTCAGTTGAAACTGTAATGAGAAAGATGTGTTAATCTGTTCAAGTTACATGCAACTAACAAGTATCTAGATTAGGAGAAAGTATATTTTACTTATCTTAAAAATTGCACTGAAATTTTGTTTTGTGTAATGTTAAAGAGTAACATTAAAAAAATTATTTTTGAAATTATGTTTCTTCTCTGTCTGGATTTCTGGAATAAGGAGTTATTATTTAGATTATTTACATTCAGTCTCATATATAGTGTGTCTGTAAATAATAATGTGAATAGTTATCATTTAATATAATATTATTATTTAAATATATATAATTTTATTATTATATTATAAAAAAATAGTACTTAAGCATCTATAAAATTCAAGAGGGATTATTCTATATTTTTAACAAAAATACTGATTTTTTTTTCATTATATAAGGTAACCATTTTTTATGTTGTGTGAAAAGAAGTGATCACTCATATGCAAATGAGTGTGTCAAGAGCCAGGAAAGTGGTGGGGGTGGGGGTGGGGATGGAGTAATTGCTCTTGATCAATGCAGATGTGTTGCACACACACACGTCAGTTATAGCTCGATCAATGGGGAAGAAACATGGCAGTGTCAAAACAATTCATTCAGGATTGTATGCTTTATGACTTTAAGGTGGGCTTGTCCACAGCCATATCAAGTCACCAAATATGTCAAGCCTTTGGAATAATGCTGTGAGTGAACGCACCATCAAACATTGGTTCCAGAAGTTCAGGTCAGGAGATCTGTCCCTTTGTGGCTGACCACAGGTCCTGAATAATGAGGCCCTGAAGGCAGCCATAGAAAACAAACCTATGGTGAGCTTGCTGAATGCTTCCAGATTTCTGTGAAACAGTCAAATTTCACCTGCACTGCATAGTGAAGCCAACAAACAACAAGTGACAAGTTTCTTGTTGCTTTCTCGGCACTGCAACATGCCCATATTTGACTGAATGCTTACCAGTGACAAAAAGTGGGTCCTGTATGACAATCCTAAGCATGCCAGACATTGGTTGTCACCACGGGACCCTGTGATTCACATCACACGGCCACCTCTATATCCATGCAAGATCATGCTCTGTATTTGATGAACTAGTTGACAAGTGGTGCACTATGAGCTGCTATCAATGGCTCAAATCAATTAAAAATAAAAAAATATATATATATATGTAAATATTTCCAGATAAAATGTATCCTGTGGAGGAACAAAATGAATAAAAAGACATAAGAGGAAAAACTATTCTTAGCTGACATGTTTTGTCCTCTGAACGGATATGATCAGAACTAAATAATAATTCAGTAGCAGGCATAGATAAAATAAATTGCCAAAACTGTTCCTCACATTACATTGGGAAAACATGCAGAAATTAAAAAAAAAAAAAACATATCTATAAAAGCAAAAGGGACTTTATACATAACAATTCATCAAATATACTAGTCATACTCAGAAATAGATTTGATCACAATTTTGATCTACAAAGTGCCACACTCATAAAAAGAGAAAGTAATTTACTCAGAAGGAAAATTCTCAAGAGTGCTGCCATCAAATCTTATCAAGATATAAATCTATTCCATGATTTTTTCTCAATCTCACCTTTTATGAAAGAATTACTACTCTCCCAAGTCAACATCCATGATTACAGTATATTGAAAAATCAAAAGAAACGATTAAATGCATCAACTCATATTTTTGAAGATGTACAGCACATATGTCCATCTCATACCATAACAATCTAATCACAATCTAAATGATATTCATTTAAAAAAAAAAGAATTTTTGAATATTACTTGCTTAATTTTTGCTAGACTTTGAATTTTGACACTTTGTGCACTCCACGGGTTTTTGCTGACCTTTCAACCACCTGATGAACATTCATGAATATTCCCAAATTTAAGAGCCTTCATAAACCAATGACATCCTTGCTTTTATATATAAACACATGCAAAAAAATAAATCCTACATTGTCTTGATAAAGTCCCTCAGAGGTCAAAATGTGTCGGCTAAAAATAGTTTTTCCTTTGTCACTTTTTATTCTTATATATATATATATATTATATATATATATATATATATATATATATATATATATATATATATATTACAATCAATCATTCATACAAAAAGTAGATTAGTAAAGTTAATGATATAAAATGGCAAAATCATTTCGCAAACAAAATTTTAAAGGAGCATTAACCTGCAAATCACTCGATGAATGTTATGATCCTTGTTTTTAAAAATTATAAACTGTATAAGGTCTTTCTTTAATATGCAAGTACTTTCAACTGTACATTCAGTCATCCTCAGGCATGGAAATTATTTTCTTTTTGGTAAAATTCATGTAGCATCCAAGAAGAAAAAATTAAATGTGAATTGAAATATGTTGAAATGTGTTATTGTTAATGGATACAAACTTTTGGAGTGTGCAGTCGCAATGTTAAGGTTGAATTTTTTTGAAAATTTAAGAGAGTGCATTTTTTTTTACTAATATGGCAATTTGAGAATTTTTTTGTTGTAGGAGTTTATGGTTCATTGTAATATAAATTGAATTGCACCACATATTTGATTTAAAAGAACTGATCTGACATGCAAATTTTCAAGATAACAACTGAGACATTACTCTATTGAACAATTTAGTTTATGTCACATTGACTGATAAACTCCTACAACAAAAAAATTTATTTAAAATATATATATATATATGTGTGTGTGTGTGTGTGTGTGTGTGTTTTGTTGAATATGACAGACAAGGAACCCAGTATTAATCTTACTTTATTTAACAATGGAAACAATGTGGTAAAAGTTTTTAAAACAGAAGGATGCCAACTTGAATTCCAGCCATGTTCCTTTTGCAGGGCTTAGAACAAATACTACTATCATACAATATGCATCAAACAATACACCTTAAAAGACAACTGTGAAAAGAAATTGACAACAATTAAAAACAAACCACTTGAAAATGGCTAAAGAAGTGTCCAAATGGGCTTGGTACATTAGACACTATGGACAATTGAAAATTACTCAATAAAAAATACATAAAATTTTCCTTGTCTGTCATATTCAATGAAATATGTTTGAAAGAAAGGTTGTTGCTCAAATATACATTATATATGTACACACACATATCTATCTATCTATCTATCTATATATATATACATATATATATATATATATATGTATGTATGTATGTATGATAGTAAAGAAAGATTGTCCACATATGGTTCTTATAATATGTAAATATAGTAGACCAATGAAAGAAATTAGAGATATAAAATGCTTCTATTTGGTTTCAATGCCTAATAACATACAATAAATAATATTATTTTGTTATCCATATTATTGTTATTGTTGTTTTTTTTATCAAATCAAATATTTTTCATCAGCCTAATATGTGTGTGTGTGTGTGTGTACAGAGTGATTACTGGAGAGTCCGTCTATGAAACTGTAGAGTCAGGATGCTGAAGGTAACATCAATCAGCTAAGGATAAATTTTATATTTGTATTAGTCCTATATATATATATATATATATATATATATATATATATATATATATATATATATATATATATATATGTGGGGGATATTTTACTGATAGGCATTTGCTAGTTTCTACTAGTATCCAAGCATATGTATGCCTTTGTTTGTATTAATTCATTCACACACATATTTTCTAAATAGGGTTCTTAGCATGACTCATCTAATAAATGTGTTGGTTCTTTTCACTATCATTTTTGTCTAAATAAAACTTATCTATGAAAGACTATGCCTACTTTAGTCAATCATATACATACTGATAAGCATACAATGGAAGCATTTACTAAAAATGTTAATTTCAATTAGTTTTATATTAAAGTGTATTTTACATTATATTAATTTATATTAAAATTAAATTATATTTTACATTATCTATATTTTGGGTAAACTTTATGCATGATAACCACTATAGTCTTTGTAAAATTTATCATTTTCCTCTGTCTAAAAATTAAATATACATAGATGCACTTATGAAGTTTTACTAAATTATATCTTATAAAGATGAAATTATTAAAAAAAATTAACCATTTTAACTGCTTCTAAAGATTCTTCATCTGTTCATATCTATCTCATTCTATTCAGATCTATCTATCTATCTTAGTCTGTTCATATCTATCTATCTCAGTCTGTTCATATCTATCTATCTATTTAATTCTATTCAAATCTATCTATCTAATTGGAGCAGATTTATGTCTAATCTGATTCATCCTTTCAAGCAATTTTCAGGTGAGTTCCCTGCTTCCAGTTTGTTGTTCAGTCTGTTTGAAGTCATCATGCTTATAATATTTTAATATTCTTATTACTTGACTGTATGAAACTTGGTTAATCTGGAGAAGTAATCATTTATGCATGGAGTGTCTTGAGCAATGAAACTTGGGGAAGCACATCTCTCTCCAGTGCAACCACAACTGATGTCCTCCAACTTGAAAGCTCATGGACTTGTGGCTGTTGGGAACTCTCCACCCTGGCCACTGCAAGAGGTTTCATCCACCCTTTGATAAGTCATTTTATTTTAATCCTCCTGGGTGTCTAGCCACTCTACCAAAAAAGCCTGGTTGGGGAACTGGTTAGTTACCATTGATTTGACCATGTAACAAGCAATACTATGTTATATGGTCTTTGATTCTCTCAACCTAAGTGTGAAATGGGAGACCAGTATATCTTTATGCAATCATATACTATGTACATAATCTCATGGCTGGTGCAAGGATCTCATGTCCCCTCCCTCTGAATTGGTCAGGGGATTTGTGGGTAGCATGCGCCGGTCCTGCATAATTTAAATGCTTAAAGTAAAGCACTTACACCATTCTGAAGTAGTATTCTTCTCAGAGTTAAAAGTAAACTTTAATGAATAATTACTGAACAATTATGAAATCTAAACTATTGAAGAATTAAGTTGTGGAGTTACCCCAGCTTGCCTGCCAGGATATTCACTAGGTGTCATTGTATTTCAGATGATAAAAGGAAGAGGAATAAATTCTCTCTCTCTTTTTTGTTTCAGGATATAGTAGCAACAATATTGGCATTTGCCTTTGCCAGGGGAGATTTCTTTCCCTGAGCAGGCTGACTGCTTGATTTCACACAACAACCTGGGGCATCATACACACACTATAGCTAAGAACATAGATGTTTTTCTTTCATTTTTTTGTGCTATCTGTGTGCATGTAAATATAATTTTAGCTTTCTCTTCTTTTGTGAACTATGTTGCTCTTTATATAAATATACAGAGTGCGATGGATAAATTGTCGTCTAAATTATGCAAAAATGAAAATAATACTGATATTTCATTTTAACATATATATTTATCAAAATTACAAAAAATAACTTGAATTACTAAAAGAGTTAAATTTATTTCATAAAATCACCATTGACTTCAACCATGGACTTCAGAATCTTCTGCATCTCTTTTGGATGGTCTCCTTGTTTAAGTTGGTGAATGCTACCATAATCCTTGCCTTCAGTTCATCTTTTGGTATTTTGCTGGTCTCTTGTTCAACTGCACCCCATACATAATAATCAAGAGGGTTGCAGCCTGAGGAGTTAGTTGGCCACATGTAAGGGGTGATGTGGTTGCAGAAATTGTCTGACAGCCATGATTGGGTTCTCCTGCTTGTGTGGCTTGGTGGAGAGTCCTGTTGCCGGACATATGATCTTCCATCAGCTACCCTCTTGACCTAAGGCAGCACTCAAGGCATTTGATGTAGGTGTTTCTGTGTTGAGTCTGAGGCCCTCATCAATAAATTCAGGAGTTCTTTTAGAGTAAGTTTTCCGAGCTGCTGTACCTTTGTAATCACCATTAGACTGATCCAACTCTTTCTGAATCCTCTGCACTATCCTCACATCGACACTCAAACACTCTGAAATGTTTGCAGCTACCAGTGTGAATGCCAAGCAGTACAGCATGCCCTCTCTAAATTTCTGGCAGAGTGAATTGAATCATGGTACTCTTTTTATCATAGATGGTACCCAACTGACCTTACTATACTGTGCAGTTGACAAGATCAAAAACAAACAGTGCACATGTGTGAAATTAAAAATATAAAATGGCGACAATTTACACATCGCTCTCTGTGTATATAAAATTCCTCTATGTGTTGAAACTTATTTCTTTTGAAAATGTTGAATTAATTTATTTTGAAACTTTTCTACCTCCCTGTTACAATTCTTAAACAACTGCTTGTTACAAAGTAGCACCTGTTCACTACATGGTTATTTATATAAACTATTTGAGGCACAGATTTTACTTAAGTATAATTATGTAGTTAAAATTGAACATAAACTAATTAAATAGGTTAGCATACAAATTTGATTGAAAATTTGGTGATAATGTTAATATTCATTTTTTTTCATTATCTATACTGTTGTGTCTTTCTTTAGAAAATATTTTCTAGTTCATTGTTTAGCTATTCTTAAATGTAATTTTGTATTTTGGCTCTTTAGCTCTTTCATAATGTGAAAGAAAAAAACATTAAAGATAAGGTGTTAAAAAATAAAAATAATTATTAAATATGAACTACAAATATTTTAAAAATGTATAAAAATATATAATATTCAAGAAAATATATTTTGTCTATTTCAAGGTTTTTTCCTTACAGATAATTAATTCAAATGAACAAGATTCAAGAATCAGTATTATTTATTTAGAGTAGTTTTATTTTGAATCATTATTTCAGCTCATGTGTTTGATATAGACTTCTGGTTAAAAAGATCTGTCTCCGTGCATTTGAAACTTAAAGGATATTGTGTCATGAAAATACTTTATTATATAAGAAAACTAAACCTATAATAAAACTAAAAACTTGATGTAAGCTTAATTTGATATAATCTTAACATATGATATTTTTTTCTAGATTTATATACAAAAATTTTCCATTTGAAAATTCCATTAGACATTCAGATATTCATCATTGTTTAAAAAAAAAATCTCATAAGGGAAGCAACTAATATATTGAAAAAATGGAATTACTTCCCTTGGACTTTGTTAGACAAAGTTAAGAATAAAATAGGTATTCTTGATTTTGTCTTGATAAACAATATCGTTTCTTTAACTAGCCTTATATTCTGAGCCCTTCTATGAAATTGAAAAATATATAAACAAGAAGGAATTTAATTTTTGGAAATAGAAAATGATTAAATCCAAGACAAAATTGAATAAAAAATAATCTGATCACTGAATTTACTGTAAGGTTGTTCAACTTTGGTCTTGAGCACATAAGGAGTCTGATTGAAACCACTTTAATAATCACTACATTCAATTTTTAAATATATTTTTAATAACAATGTTACATATTTGTATTTTTTGTATATATTAAAATATCTTTTAAAATTTCCTCATCAATGAAATACACACATTTTACCATAGGACTTTAAGGATATATCCATCTTCTACTAATCTGTTCAAGAACAAAGGTAAAAAATTTACTTTTTGGCAACTGTTCTGCTATTCTTTTCTCTGCATAGCTGAAGAACTCCTATGGAGAATTGGAGTGATCCCCATATAAGATTCCCATGTGATGGTTGCAGACTTAGTAATAATAAAGAATAGAATCCAACTGACCTATGATTTGTACAAATTATATTAATAAATATTACAAATGGGTCCTTACAAACTTAATGGTGTCTGCAACCAAACTTATCTGCTGTGGGTGAGTTGATGTTCTCACCATCTATGGACTCTGTGATGATAAGGGTGTAGAGATGACCCATTCAGCATGTGGTCCTTCCAAAAATTGTACCAAGAGTAAAGAGTTGTTCAAAAAAAGGTAGAAAAGTGTGCCAATCAGCATCTGTGAGCTGATTGGCTAACCTTAAACTGCTAAAGACAGACAATCATATAATATCGTATTTCTCATAATCTTACTTTTGTCATTCTCAACTGAATTATATCTAAGTTTGTTGATTAAATTTGTTCTGAGACTTAACATAGATTTCATTCTGGCCATGGCATGACTGATATGATTTTCTCTTACCATCAGATTGCCAAGAAAGTAACCAGTAGTTATAAGTGATTTACTAAGGCTTTTGACAATATCAATTACAAATGCCCTATGGAAAGTTCTCAAAAAGCTTAGCATCCCTGACAAAATGTTGGATCTTATTACCTTGTTTTATCAGGGCCTGAAAGCATGTGGAATTTAACAGGTTGCCTGTTTGTGTGTATTTTAAGTGAATGTGCGTGTTAAGTATGTAAACAAAGTAGATGAAGAAGTATATAAAACTTGAGTTTCCACCGTAGACATTTATTCTTTTTATGGTGACTGTAGTGAAACAGAGTTTTCTGTGTCCATTCTCTTTCAGAAGTTTGGGTAAGTAAGTACAAATATCATATTCATAGGTGAGCTCATGTTAGCCTTGCACAGAGTTGGAACAACCAAATGAATGTTTCTATTTACTTTATCATTGGAGGGCATAAACATGGTTATGGGATGTCTGTTTTCTTTTTCTTGGTCCAGAATTTAGGGTACTGCAGTACAAGCATTGTTACTATGGTTGCATTCAGGTCAGCCTTATACTGAATTGGAACAACCAAAGAGAAAGCTTGATCTACTTAATAGGCTGAGGTTTTGGAAGGCATGTGTGAGTGCCATGCATTGGAAAGTGGAAAGGGAAATCAGTTGTCAGTGAACCCGGGAAACTATGTTCTCAGAAGAAACATAATTACCAGGTGCTATTACATCTTGGAGCAAAGAGGAGAAATAAAGTGAAGCAGGAAATGTTTGTCTTTTTATAGGCTTCAACAATGTCACCTAATGACATTTGGTGAAACAAAGTAGGGTAATCATATTTCCAGTTCCTTTACTCTTAGCATCATAGGAAAATGTAATTCTTTTTCTTTATTATTACACATTATTATTATTATTTTATTTATTGATTTTATTTTATTTTTCCACAAATATCTTTTATGTCAGATGGCAAATGTTTTGATTTATTTACTGTCATAAATGGTACAAAACAGGATGTATTATGGCTCTGGTACTCTTTGCTCTGTACTTTTCTGTAGTGCTTCAGTACATAGTGATATAGATACTGGAATTAAGATTTGAATTTTAGAACTCAGGTGGGCTCTTTAAGAACATTAAAAGACAAAATGCTTACAAGATGTATCATTATGCATGACCTACTTTTTGCAACATCAACTCAAGAAATTCAGGGCTCATTAACCGGTTTTTATTTGCCAGTAAAGCTTCTGGATTGACAATCAGCACAAAGAAGATCAAAGTGGTTCA